CCCTATAGTTTTACTAAGGAGTTTTAGTAATGACGACGGCGACAATGACACCTTGTTAAAAAATGATTTGTATTTTACCCTCGAATGTCGCAACTGTGTAGAGCTGATCAGCATGCCTATCGGTCTAAAACCTTGCTCAGGCTAAATATGTAATGACAGCGTTCAATTCCAAGGTAAGACACGAAAAATTAGCCATTTCGGTTCATGTTCTCCAAAACACGTCAGACGTTGTCATATCACGCTGTTAGGGAGCTTAAGCAGTGACGACGGCGACGCTGAGGATGTCGCTTAGTCAAAAATGAATTTATGTTTTACCTGCGAAACTTGCAATTTCTAGATCTGTTCAGAACGCCAATGACTCTAATATCGGCTAAATTTGCAATGACAGCGTTCAATTCCAAGTAAAGATGAGAAAAATTAGTCGTCGTCGTTCGCGTTCCTCAGACGACGCAAAACTTGGTCATTTCACGTTGTTGTTTCACAGAGCATGGCAAAGGAATGCACAAAGATTCAAAACGCACATGCAGAACCATTGTTCGCCTCATTAAACCTTTTGTTTGGTGATGTTCTCGTTGGTGTCGCCGTCGTGGTTTTCTAAAGCTCCCTATTACGCATGCGCACTGAGGACAAAAGGTCTAGTAATCTTCGCGACCCTCGCGGATTTTCCGATATTTTGTGACGTCAGCATGACCTCAAAAAAGCAAACCTGACAGTGAATTTTCTCGTGTTTTCTCTTTAGACATGCCGTGTTTAAAAATCTTATCTGGCCAAATTCGATGTACTGTGAAAACGTTTGGAAGATTTCAGAAAAGAAAATGCAGAAAAATCACAATTAAAGCCATATAAACAGTGAAAACACGCAGACCAAAAGCCATTATTTGACAAGAGATGATTGTAAAAATATTGAACCATTGCCATTCACATTTGATAGGTCTGAGGAAACTGCGTTTGATAACGAACTAAAAAGCCATCTTTCGAACAGCCTGCTCCAGGCTCTCGATCGGTGGGGACGACCGAAAAATAAAGCGGGCCGGCGACGAGCGGGATCTGGGAGAGAAAAACGAGAGAGCGCAGCCGCTGCACACTAACGGCTGATAGTGTACGATAGTTCAGCCAATCCGATTGCTCAATTAGTAGTAATAGAATCATACTAAAACTCGATAGACTTTTTGTTTGGCCATGGTGATTTGTTTCTGCGATTTCTGTGGGGATGAGTTTTCTTTCTACGAAAAAATACCGTCATCACCTCTTGACATTAGAGTATTCAAATTTAACAACATCAAGCTGATATACAGTGTAAGGGAGTTGTACACGCTTGAGGAATTAAAGCCGGTTAATAACAAAAGCCGGGATGTGCGCATTTAAGAAAATCAGATGGCTATCTCACTGCAAAGGAAGCCAGAACAAATGGCACATTACGCGTGAAGTGCACAGAGTAGCTAGCCGTACTGGAACAGGGTTTAAGCAAACTCGACCATGAAATAGCTTTCTTCAAGGCCACTAAAATTGTCAATTTCTGCGATCATTGTTGTTCTGACTGCAAAGTACCAAGTCTCATTGCAAATACAACTCATTGAACTACGTGTCCTTGTTTCACTGAGCAACATCTTCTCCAATGGTACAGCGTCCTGTCGATGTGCGGAAGTCATAGGTATGACTCTTTTTGGGGGAGTTGGGAAGTGCCTTTCCGAGTTGTTTGAGTCAACTTACTGATTAACGTCTTTCTGATGTTCCCCATACTGCTAGTAGATTTTCACTGGCGTGTTTGAGATACACATTGTACATGAGAAAGTATTATGGAGGCAAAGGAAGGCTACTCTAGCTGTCAGTCTTTCTAAAGCTGGTAAACTGTTAAGGAACCAACCATAATCCAGGGGACTCTTGCGGAGGTCCTCCACTCAGTGGGTGGCCTGCTTAAGTTGTCTTGGCTATTGTTTATGCACAATATAGTAAGCATTTCGTGTATCATCCAGACTGAACTAAAACTGATTATATGGGAGATTATAACCAGTTCGTCTTCGTTCTGTAGAGACGATCAGCCCGAACCGCACTATAGTAGGGTTCCGCTAGCGACTGAGTCCAATTCAATGGAACAACAACGTATGAGACGTCTTGATACCAACTCTCCTGCGTCGTCCCATAACCGAAGAGTACGAAATCTTTTAAAGGAACGAAGCTTTTGCAGCATGAAAGTCTGGTAAATACTTTAACTAGTAAAAATTTATTACAAATTGCAAAACCGTTGTCGATGGTGACAAAAATGCTACATGTTTGTCAAAAAAGATTCCTCTTTTAACATAAAAAAAGAATTAATTCAATGATTTCTGACATAGATTATTTCAATTCTGCCATCTAGGCGAAGTCCGACTTTGAGCTATTTAAGTCCTACGCTGCACAGTTAAAAGTAAACTCAGCTAATGGTATTGTTCTCTGCAATTTTTTGCTTGGTGGCTATTCTGCTTAGTTGTCTATTTTTTTGAATTTATCTCCGTATGGCGCATTTTGATCTCAAAAATTCACCCTGAACATTTACAACGTGAAATGCTTCAACGCCAATGTGCTTTCATTCCCTTTAGATGTTACTGTGGCGATTTTTTCCAAATCGTGCCATCCTCCTTATAGTACGGGCCTAAGTTCCAAATATACTTTTCGTGATGGATTTTTTCTTTACAAACATCCTTGTTATTGCGTGTGCACTTGGTACACACATGCTGAAGAGTATCCCCTGTCCAGGAATGTGCAAAGGGACAGCGACTTGTTACTCCAATGTCACAGTCTTGGCTTGTGTGCTTTTTGCACTCTCTCGACTTCTCGGCNAAATACTTTAACTAGTAAAATTTTATTACAAATTGTAAAACCGTTGTCGCTGGTGACAAAAATGCTACATGTTTGTCAAAAAAGATTCCTCTTTTAACATAAAAAAAACATTAATTCAATGATTTCTGACATATATTATTTTAATTCTGCCTTCTAGGCAAAGTCCGACTTTCAGCTATTTAAGTCCTACGCTGCACAGTTAAAAGTAAACTCAGCTAATGGTATTGTTCACTGCAATTTTTTGCTTGGTGGCTATTCAGCTTACTTGTCTAGTTTTTTTGAATTTATCTCCGTATGGCGCATTTTGATCACAAAAATTGACCTTGAACACTTACAACGAGAAATTCTTCAAGGCCAATGTGCTTTCATTCCCTTTAGATGTTATTCTGGCGATTCTTTCCAAATCGTCCCATCCTCCTTATAGTACGGGCCTAAGTTCCAAATATACATTTCATGATGGATCTTTTCTTTACAAACATCCCTGTTATTGCGTGTGCACTTGGTACACACATGCTGAAGAGTATCCCCTCTCCAGGAATGTGCAAAGCGACAGCGACTTGTTACTCCAATGTCACAGTCTTGGCTTGTGTGCTTTTTGCACTCTCTCGACTTCTCGGCACCACGAACACAAGAGCCATGATGAAGTCTTCCTATTGCGTCAACGTACCTGGGTTGAAACAGTTGTTCTTGGCTTCCTTTAGTTCCTAGTATCCAGTTACGATCGTTTGTAGGCAACAAAGTAAATGGTTCATCTGGTTCTTGCCTGGTCGCGGCTTCTGTAATAGGCTCCTCTCGCCTTGAGCTACTAAGCTGTAGAGCGGAAGCATATGAAACCGACCTCGATAACGTAGTTGGGTGATTGAGGTTATGAGCACTGTCCCAAGAGGATATACCTGGAACCCTTTTGGAACTTGAAGACAAAGTGAGGTTTGGAGGCACTGTAGGATTGTCAGGACACTCACTGGGTAACATATTAAGAAAATGTGGCATTGATGAGTTGGTTGATTTTTCTGCTTGCAGTTGGGGATTACTGCAAGGAGAGCCATTGAAATCATCTGATAAGGCATCTAGGATTTGGGCCGTACCTTCGTCTGGCTTTTCCCTTATTTTCGTAATTGAATACTTCAGGTCACCTAATTTTCCCTTGCGCGAGTTGGGCGTGCGAGGAGTGTCACTGCAAGTTCCAACTTGCTCTTGCTTTGCTGCAACTCTCGTCATCTGTTCCTCCCGTATTGTGGGTCCATGTTGTAGAGCAGAAGCATAAGAATCCTGCCTTGACGAGAACTCTGGGTGATGGATGTTATCAGCACTGTCCCAAGATGATAT